TCAAGTTCAAGGATTAGTGATGATTCAACTTTTGGCTCCGATAAGATAGGATCAATAATAATGTCATCACTAGTATCAATGTTCAAACGATTGAAAGTATATTGTGAATGATGGAAAGCATGAGAGTCCAATGGAACAAAAATATAGCTATCATTATGCGGGTGTCCAATATTAGGTGAAACTAGGGACTTGTCCTTATTTTCTTTCATTTGCTGACTTGCAAGAATTTTAGTCAAGTGGGAAAGTTTAGTTGTTAATTCAGATAATTGATTTTTTATTCCTCTACACTCTTCACATTATTGGCCAAGTGAATGTTTTTTATTTGCAACTCTAACTTCAAAGATCTCAACCTTTTTCTCTAGGGCAGGTAGGAAATTGATGTAGATCGTAATAGCTCCGATACCAAATTAATGTAGATTGTATTAGCTCTGATACCAAATTGATATAGATTAAGAAGGGAAGAAATAGAGATGACAAAAAAGAAAGAATTTAAGAAGGAAGCAATATCAATATTCAATAATAATCAAACTCTAATCTAAATGAAAGCCTTACATGCATCCTTTTATATAGGAAAACTAAAAATCTAAAATAAATAAATAATGACAAATAAACCCTTAAAAGAAAATACTGAAAAAATAAATACTAAAAGTATCTAAATAACTCTCATAACTAATCTATAATATATTTCCAATTCCTACACAATCCCCATCACATAATTTTAGAAAAGTAGGCTATAGACACGTTGAGAGACATAAAAATTTCTATATTTATGTTTTAATGGACAAGGTCATATAATAAAATACTAACATTTTCATAAAAGTAAGAGTTTAAAAATCCTCAGATCATTAGAAATGGCCTTCCAAGTCATTAATGTTAGAATAGTGTAGTATATTTAATATTAGGGGTGTCAAAAATTTGACAAGACCCTTTAAGAAGATATGAACATGACACGAAATTAGAGAGTTTGAGTCTTTGTGTTTGATTTTGTGGTTGTGGTGGTCCTTGTGTTTGATTTGTAGGTTGTGTATTTCTCCAACTAAAATTCGGATGATTTCTCCATCCTGGGTTATAAGTTTCAGAGTATGGATTCAAATAAGGCTTATTATTATAAGTCGGAATAACATTAAATTGTTCAATTAACACTTCTTTGAATACAGGTATAGTTGGACACTCTATTGCTGGATGTCCTGACAACGCACAAATTTCACAGATTTGATCAGTAATTGAAATGACAGATACTTATTTTATTTTTTTCATCTCTAAAGCTTGTAGTTTTCGACATAAACTTGCCTTTTTCGCTCTTAAATCATCATCTTCTTTTAACACATATTTTTCTCTTTCAAATGTAGATGACTTAATTTCTATTATGTTTGAAGAAGTTGAGTTCGAAATCTGGGAACTCTCAGAAATAGTATTAAAAAATTGAAATGTTTCTTCAGGATTTTTACTTATAAATTTTTCCTGCATCATCATTTCAACAAATTATCGCATTGCAGGTGGAAGAGTATCATAGAAAAAATCAACTAAGGTCCAATTTTCAAATGCATGACGTGGACAAACTTAGAAAAGATCTTTAAATCTTTCCCAACATTGATAAAAAGTTTTTCCTTCTTTTACAGAAAAGTTCATTATTTGACCTTGTAATGTATTTGTACGATGGATATGAAAAAACTTTTTAAAGAACTCAGCTTGTAAAGCTTGCCAGTTTGTGATTGAATTGACTCTTAAAGAACTAAACTATTGTTTTGTTTTATCTTTTAAAGAAAAAGGAAATAGTTTTAGTCTAATCATTTCGGAATTATCTTGCAATATTCCACAGACTTCTTCAAATTCTTTCATATGAACATAAGGGTTTTCAGTTTCTAGACCATGGAACTGTGGTAATAATTGTATTGTTCCTGGTTTAATACTAAGATTTGGAACATCTGTTGGAAAAGCAAAACATGACGGAACATTAGTTCGTGTAGGGTGTAGATATTCTCTTAATGGTCGAATATTTTGAACTACTTTTTGTTCCCTAGGTTGTTCTGCCCTAGGTACGTTTCTAGCCATACTTAATTCAAATGATTCTGGTGTAGATGAAGATGAAGGAGCTGATTGATTTACAGATCCTACGGATGAATGAATAGACATAAACTATTTAAAAAGAAAATGCACTTTATAGACATATAATACAAATAAACAACTTTTGTATTTTATTTAATTTCAAATTACCGTAACTCCCCGGCAACGTCGTCAAAAACTTGATTCGCACCTTTTTCGTGATTGAATTAATATTTATACACCCAAGTATAAGTGGTCGAATTATAGTTTTCTCGATTTTAAGTCCAAGTATCAATCCCACGAAGAGTGTGTAATTAGAAAATAGAATAAAAATAGTAAAGTTGTTTATCTTAAATAGGACAACATTTGATAGCTTGTGATGTTAGCTTAGATTGATAACTAGTTTAAGTAAATATTTATGTTGCAGATAGATTTAGATAATAAAAAATATCCTTCAGTTCAAGAATCACATATGCGTTATATTGGTTAAATACTGGAAATGCTACCTTACAACAATCAACTTCTATGTTAATGGCAAGTCAACTGGTAGGTCTAATGTATAAAAACCATCACACAACAACTTCTTAGGTTAGCTGGTAGTATCCATGACAATTGATTAATTCAAGCAAATAAGGACAAACCATTTATGAGGATCACTTGAATTATTCATTTGTCTCCATAATAGTAGGTGAGTACATAATAAACCATAACACAGTCACTTCTTAGGTCAACTGGTGGTATTAGTCATACACACAACAACTTCTTAGGTTAGCTAGTTATAGATGTATCAAGTGATTAATCCAAGCAAACCAGAAGGAAAAATCATTCATGAGGAATACTTGAATTATTCATTTGACTTCATCTCTGATACATATATACCAATTAAAAATCCTCAGCATTCTGGTGAAGGATAAACCATACCGACAGGAATGTCGTGGTTGTTAGATTGATAATATTATCATTTATACCAGTTAAACAATCTGAGTAATCCAGAAGGACAAGCCATTCATGAGGATCACTTAGGTCATTAATTTGATAGTTATATCTATATATATATAAGTTTAACCCTAATAACCCAGAAGGATAAGCCATTCATGAGGATCATTTAAGTTTTGTACCATGCATCAATTAACATCTTCAGTGTTCCGGTGGAGGACAAGCCATACCGATAGGAATGCCATGGTTGTTTTACTGGCAGGTTGATGATGCACTGATGACATACTTCCAGACACAACACCAAAAGTACATACATCAGTGTATCATGCATAAAACATATAATACATAGATATATAAATATATAAAACATCAGCATTTCAAAATTTAACCAGTATAGTACATATGTTTATCTCTTACTGAAGGATATAAGTGACTACTCACGCCCCATTGTTACAGACAAGCAAGGAGTGTAGGCAATTTTCATTACAATTAGAATTAAAATACAAAATTTAAAATATCTTTCACAAGGAACAACTAAAACAGAATCACCTTTATTATCGGTTATGAGAAAAAGGTGACGACAGTTCAACAATCCAAATAGAAAGATACAACAGGAATGCAGAAGTTCAAAGTTTGGACTAAAGTGCATCACGGACCGGATCGTTTTGTAACTTTTTTTTTCTCTTTCTCTTTCTCTTTCTCCTTTTCTTCTTTTCTCTCTTGGATTTCTCTCTGGAGCTCTCTTGGTTCCGGCCTCCGAAAAATGAAGGAGGGCATGGCTATTTTTAGCCGTTTTAGGAAGCATGAGGTGGAAAGATGGAGATAGCCATCAAGATGGACCGTCCGGACGCCCCTCCACCGTCCGGATGGTGGAGCTTTGCTGGATTTGTAACTTGCATGTGTGCTGACTCTTCCTTTGGTGAAATTACACTTTGGCCTTTGTTGTTTCAAGCCTCCATATTTGCTTCTTGTATTCTTTGATAATTTTGCATTAAACACTGAAGCTTCGGACATAAAATATTAACAACCCTAATTCCCGTACAAAACCCTAATTGATCTTAAGTTCTTGTTTTTAGTTATTTTATCACACCAATTTTACTTTTTAACTATTCTGATTTATATACTAATTAGGGTTAATTAGCAATGACACCTATGGCATACAACTCTTGAAATGTCAGTTGCATGATCATTTTTAAATGAACGACTCGGATCAGCTTTGATATTTCTTAGGGATTCAAGTTGCTTCTTCTCTCAAAGGTTATCTTAGTCCAATTATGCATCAAATGTTATTCAGTGAGTTCGCTTATCAGATAATCGGATAGTTGAGACAACTATGGAACTCAATCTTGGTATTCTTCTGCGGATGACGGTCTCTTGCCTGACCATGCACTATAACGCATTAATACTATTGTTGGGAGTTGGTATATCTTATTGTTACTCGCCTAGATATCTCTTATACTGTTCACATTGTGAGTGTATTTGTTATCTCACCTACCATTGTTCACTGAGTTGTTGTTCTTCGCATTTTTCTATATCTTCGAGGTAGTATGCATCAATGTCTATTATTTCCTTCCTCTTTTTCTATGGATTTTAGGGTTTAAAGGGCTGGCGATGCTATGGATTGCAAATCTGCCACTGATTTCTATTTTTTTTAGATGATTCTCTTATCTGCTGGACAAGCAAGAAGCAAACAATAATTGCTCGTTCTTGTGCTGAAGTTGAGTATTTTGCTATGACATAAACTGCAGCTGAGATAGTATGGTTACGTTGGCTATTTGCTGATATACTGCAGCTGAGTAGTATGCTATGACAATAATTGCTCGTTCCACTTTTGTTTCTTTTGGAAAAAGTCTCTCTTGAAGATATCTACCCAGTTTAATTAAAACATTTTTTCAGTTTTCTTTTTCACGAGATTTTCTGTTCAAATTTGAGCTAATGGAGTCACTTGTCTTATAGTCATCTACGTTTTATTTTTCTTCTGATTTTTGCATGTCCAGCTAAAACACTCCTACTTTTTGTTGATGAGCTGTCTCATACGATTACAGGTCCAATTCTGGGTGAGCAATAGAATACACAAGGAAGAAAGATCATGCATGGGAAAATGGGATGTCCGATCCCTGGTCACATCTTCCTCAGAAGTTTATGGGCCTGAAAATCTTTTAAAGGGGAAACAGTTCCTAGACATATAAAATTTTCATTCTGGAATCCTGTTCGATGCCGCATCATTTGGATAACACTACGTCTGCAGAGACCTGATTCAAGTTTTGTCAATTTTGAAAGAGACTTTAATCTTTTTTCTCTAGATGAAAACCCATTTTCACAACTTGATAGGCGTGCCTCTTTAGGAGGACCAGTTGAAAGTGATCCATGTCTTCATGCCAAAAGAATCCTGGTACTTGGAAGTCCTGTGAGAACCGACACGGGGCTAACATCAACACAAGGCTCTGACCAGATAAATGTAAGAAACTGGTTGGAGAAACCTCCTCAACTAAACAGATTCAAGTTGCTACTAATGCTTCATTTCTTGTGCCATCGTGATTAAGTCTGCTATTTAATATAAATATAATGTGTATAGCCGTTCATAATCATTCTTTTCTCTTTCAGGTTCCAATTGAGGCCGAGGGGTTAACCGACAACGATCTTGTTCTAGAACAGTATCTATCCCCAGCCTCACCAATGCTGGCAGGATTTCGTCTTGATGGTTTCAGTGCAATCAAGCTTTGAGTTACCCATTCACCTTCTTCCGATGTAAATATATGGGATATGCCATCAAACATTTTGGAAGATAGACTCATATCTCCAGTTGTATTATATTTACAGGTATCTGCTCTCCAGGTATTATATGGTTTATCACGCTGCTAAATTGTTACTCCCTCTTTAGCACCGTATATCTGGTGAATTGATTTATGATGTGGACTGTAAGGGGTAGAAATCACTACGGATCTCATCCCTCCACTTGAAGGATTCCGGCTGGCCTGGCGGCACCGAGCCCCAGTAGCCTTTACCTCTCTTCGCCAATAGGACCCTTTCCTAAGGCAATCCCACATCGGAAGAGAGTCGTCTTCCCCCCTGCCATATAAGTGAACACTTCCTATGGAGGAGGTACCCACTAGCGACCTAATATCCTAAGCAGGGAAAACGGCTAGGGGCAATGATGAAGCAGTTGGGGTTGTTGCAAAACCCTTCGTCTCCTTACAACGCGTGTCCTCGGTGTTAGAAGATCGAAGGCTGGGGGCAGTTGATGGGACATTTCCGGAATACTCCAAGATGAAGACACGTGTCCTCGATGTCACTGATCCTTGTTTATCGAATATCACGTACCCATCGGGGTCACAAGTCCCCTCTACCCCGAGGTACTTATCATGGATTGAGTGGCATCCAGTACGTTTTTATATACCGACACGTACCCTCGGTCTGATATGGTACATCGGTCGCTAGGCCTCCCCCCTCTCGGATTCAAGATGTACCGTTTCCTCGGTACCGAGATGTACCCCCTCTCATCCATGATGAAGTTCTCAACTCCAGCAGAGGTTATTGATGTACTGGTCACTAGCCTAGGCTAGGCTAGGCTAGGTTAGCTACTATGACCTCGTCTTACACAATTGGTGTCAGAAGGCATAGGAAGGCAGGGGCCACAGCCAATGAGGAATGGACGCGTGGCATATTGTGTCACATCAGAGACAGAAAGACCGCATGACCTTGCTGACACGCGACTTGGGAAAACAAGCATTTAATTACACCATTCCCTTGATGAGACTGCATTCAATGCGGTAAGGCTCAGAAGTGAAAGGCAATAAATGTCTCTAAGACTGGGCATTTATTGCATCCTCCCCGAGAGGAGCTCATTGAACCGTCGGCAGGCCGATGACACAGACTTGATTGTTCGGGGTCCCGAGTAGTTAAGAGAGAAGACATTTCTCATAGGAATCAGTGCGCACGTTGCCTGTATCTAATGATCACCTACTGACCACACTGACAACAATCATGAGTATTTGAGGTATAAATACTCCTCACTAAAGGCAAGAACAGGAGGTGAAACTTTTGCTACAAATTATACTCAGTGTTTTCTCTTCCTCTCTCTCAAAAACTGACTTGATCGTCGGAGGGGATACGCCGGAAAATACTCCGGCTCCCTTCTACCTTGTTCTTCTTTGTTCCAGGACCTTTTTTCAGCCTTACTGGATCGTTCCTTTGATCCGCGAGGGTCTCCCATTACCGTTCCAGGTTACCACCGGATCTCACAGGCTGTTCCAAGCAGCGTGGTTGACCACTCAACTGACTCACTCGAGTTCACCAAGGGAGAGATCTGTTCTCGTTTTTATATTGTGCAAGATCTAGCACGCACATGAACTTTTTTTTCCTCCAAGTAATGAAACATCTATTTGCTGGGAATATGTGCAATGGTATTTTCTCCTATTGATGTGGCTTTTTTTCTCATAGTAGTATAACATCTTATGTGCTGGGAAACTTTACATTGCTACAACTGGTTTTGTCAAATGGCAAAATTTCATTTAGCTAACATGCAGTAGTTGGATGCATGTCCAAGTCATGGATAACACTTATATGACCTGTGAGATTGCGCAGATCGATGTCTGGTTAAACCCTAAATGGACATTGGGAAGGGGAGAAACGGGGGGTAGGTATTTGCATAAACTTGTGAAGAATGGATATAGATATGAGAAATGGGTACGATACGATATGAATACAACGATATGAAAAAATTTAGAAAAATAAGATATAGGTACAATCAGGATACGTCTTATATTTTACTATTGTCTAACAACTTTAAAAATTGCAAGTTTTAGTAGTTTTTTAACAATAGTAAGCAGAATTAGTAATTTTTACCTTGAAAAAAGTGTAATATTGTCTCATTATGATATATCATCATGTGAATGTGACCCATTAAAATAATCAGAACTAACTAGTTGGTTTGCGTACAAGTATTTGTTTTTAAGATTGTAGTGTAACTAATTTTTTATACTCTTTTGACATGTGATAGTAGATAATACTTAAATAATACTCGTGTCTTCAAAGTCGAATGAAATTTGTTAATGTTTTGTATTGCATGAGAACTCAGAAAGAGATGATATAAATTAAAATTAAAAATTACAAATCTTGCTCCATATGTAGAAATATTCGCGAAGTATCAACATATTTTACTAATTAGTAGATACGTATAAAGTCTATCCAATACATATCACCAAGTATCCAACGAATATTGTATTTGATGCGGGCGCCCCAACCTTGACGAAGTATCCGTGTTTCATAGGCAGACACGATTACCAATTAAGAATTTTAATGACCTAGTTCATTCAATAATCATAAATCATATTCCAAATAGTCAAATGAGATTGTTCAATGCAAATATACTGATCTAGTGTGTTTGAAGATCTAAAAGCAAATAATCATACATAACTAAGGCATAAAATTTTGAACGTGGAAACCCTTGGGAGAAAAACCATGGGATCTAGTCGAGCCTAACTTTGTAGTATTGAAAATTTGAAATTGGCAATACAAACTCATGTACTAACAACCCCTTGTTAGGTATCCTCTTGTCTTGTGCTCCTCTCAACAAACTCACTGTTATAGTTCAACTCACAGATCATTGGCTCCTCCGACAAAGGTTAGGTCACACTCCTCCTGGAATGCTGCTAGCATGTCCTCCTTGAATCTTGATCTTTCTCGGATCTTCATGACTTTCTTTGGATTTGAATTAATTTGAGAAAACTTGTAATGGCTCCTAGGGTTTTTGAATTGAAAGATCTCTTCAAAACCTTTGTTTTTCTCTATGAAAAACATCTTAGAAATTCATTTTTATATAAAAAACCTATTTAACAGAGTTGAGGAAGTTATCCTAATTCAAACAGGATTCTTATACACCACAGTCGCTCGAGTGCGCAATCTCTCACTTTAGCGCGCTTGGGCTCATTCGGGCTTCAAGCAAGCCAAAGGCAAGTGCGAGTTACAATTGTTTATTAGAACTTGTATCAACTTTTTGGCTCGAGCAAGAAGCCTATGCTAGGTGAGCCCTAGCTATTGGAAACCATCCGAAACTAATCCAATTGACCTCAAACAATGCTTAGGTTTTGCTTGAATGTTGTCTATACTTGGATCGTATTTTACACTTAAAAATCAAGTTTTTGATACCAAAAATGTAAGACTAAGTATACATCACGTAAATCAAGTCTCGACAATATTTTTCAAATAATTTCAAAGCTTACTAAGGTATCTAAGTTCACTTATGAGTCCTAACTGGAGTGTGAATGCCATGAGATTAACTTGATCATCTTCTTGAATCTTCAATCCAATCTTCAAGTAAGCTTTATCTCATCCAGCTTGAATATATTCAATCTTCAATGCAATAATCAAAATTCCTCAACCAACCTCAACTAATTTGATCCATGTGACTCACAGAAATATGCCAGTTTCGAACAATACATTATGCCATGGTATGAGATCAAATATGCGGAACTTGACCTAGCTATGACACATTAAATGAGTGTTTGCTTTGTGGTGGTGGTGTATCTTTTACATCTTTATAAACTCTTCTAGGTTTGTAACTGGCAAGCTGCTTCTTTAGTTCCGGTTTATAGTTCTGAATGTCCTTGAAGTGTTGAGGATGTTGGCATCTAAATCATGTAAGTAGGATAAGGAGGCAGTCTTTCACTTGCTAGGGGGCTTAAATTAATCTCTTACTTTCTTATCTTCTTTCTTCTTCCCCTTCTCGTCTCAAGATTCCTAGTGTATCGTCCATGTTGCCAGATTGAGGTCTTCATGTTGTTAGTAGTTTTGATGAATCTTCACAACTCAAGCTTGCAGAATCCTTGCTCTCTGAAACAACATTAGCATCATCAGTTCGTAATCCATAGTGAATGCTTGCCATATTCGGAAGAACGTGCTAAATATGGCTTCTCCTTATTGGCTCAAGTTTTTTTATACTAACAAATCAAAATTGAAGTGTTTTGGATTAAGTCTCTTAATTATGATTGCTTAATATACTATTTAATGACGTGATAACTTACCAGTTCTAAAGTCATCTTCACATTACCTAACAAAATTCTTGTGACTATTCGCATGAAGGACATAATTTATTTTAAAATTAATAACCATATGCTTAAGCCATCATCTGCTGAGTTCTAGGGGGGTAGTGATTAGAAGTTATACCACATGCCCTAAATACTGAGGTGGTCCTCGGCCTAGTTCCCCAATATAGAGTTGTTTAGTTGCCATACTACACCTTTGTGCATACCTGTCTTAGATTTTGGCAAATGTTTTATTTGGCCAACTTTAGTCTTGTCACACGGCTCTCAAAATCTAGAATTGTAAGTGTTTTTGAAGATTGCTAACCTAAAAATGGAAGAGCATGCTTTGAACCCTAGATGTTGGCGGTCACCCTATTTTGGGGCATGTTGGAATTGGGAGCTGAGAGCCTGTGCAACTCCCTGTAAAACAGCCACTGGTGTTCAAGGTCTTGATGTTTATATTAACTTTGTGTCTTTGTCTTTTTTGTGCAAGCATTTCGTGTACAAACTCCCAAGCTATTGTTGAAAGCTAGGGTTTGTGAAGAGTACATCATCGGTTAGTGCAACAGTAGAAGTTTGGGCTGTAAAGTGGGTATGTAGAAATAAGTCTAAGGCAGCTATTTTTTGCTAGTAGAGGCATAAGTTGGTTTATGCACTACCCAGTCCTTCCGAGAACCTATATAAGATGGGATCAGCCCTCAT